GGTTTAACACAAATTGAAAAATCAAAACAAGAATTATAGAACCTAAGTGTAGCAAGAATTGTCCAAACGATGTCGGAACCATCAAACTCATCAAGAGGGTAGATCAAAAGAATTGTGACACCTCAAAACTCACCGCCAAAGAGGGTTTGATTTTGCCGAACTTGTTGTTTCATAGATACAAAAAACAAACACATACACAGATCTAGAGAGAGGGAATGAGAGCGATATAAAAGTAAGGGGGATCTACATCTCCCGACTCTAGTTAGCAAATAAAAGAACAAAAGGGGTAGAGAGATAAAGGAAGAAGAGTAACTAGGTCACCTCAAAACTCATCGTCAGAAAACAAATTTAATTATTAGCTTTTCAACATAATTATGCAGTTGTATATGATGAACACAATGAATTCTTAGTCAAGAACGCTTTGGACAATGGAGCTTACCTTTGCTTGAAGAAGCCACTTAGCAAGAAAATTGTTATATATTTGTGGAAATTTGTATGGAGGGATAAAATATAAAGAGAAAAATCAATAAAAAGAGTAGTAAGTAGTAACAAAGGGAGATCATATTAATATTATAGATGATAATATTTATATTGTTGGAGATGAAGAACAAGCTCGAAAGAAGAATATGTCTATTACTATTGAGGAACAAAGCAATAACAGTCCTAAGGCTGAAAATGATGTTGTATCAAATAGAAAACACAAGTTGAGAAGGAAGAGAGGCAGAAAAAGTGAAAGTAGTCCCATTAATAATACTATTATGCGTAAGGACTACACATCAATCCATTTTGTGTAGTCCTTACTCGTAATAGTCTTATTAATAAGACCATTGTGATTTTTTCCTTCATTAATCTTTTTTGTACTTTTTCTGCCTCTCTTTTTTCTCTACTTGTGTTTTTCATTTCATACAATATCTTGTTCAGCCTTATGGCTATTATTGCTTTGTTCCTCAGTAGTTATAGACATATTCTTCTTTCGAGCTTATTCTTCATCTCTAACAATATAATTTATTATCATCAACAATATTCGTATGATCTCCCTTTGTTTCTACTATTTTTATTAATTTCTCTCTTTGTATTTTCTCCCTCCATACAAATTCTCACAAGTATGTCATAGTTTTCTCGTCAAGTGACTTCTTCAAGCAAAGGTAAGTTTCATTATCCAAAGTGTTCTTTACTAAGAATACATTACGTTCATCCCATACAATTGCATAATTATATCGAAAAGCTAACCATTAAATTTGGAAGAGTAATTAGGTTTGATTTATTCGAACTTGTTGCTTTGCGGATGCAAAAACTAAACATATGCACAAATGGATAGAGAAGGAAATAGAGCAATATAGAATTTAGGGGCGATCTACGCCGCCTGACTCAAGTCAGTAAGTAAAAGAATAGAAGGGGTAGAGAGAGAGGAGAAAGAGTTGTTACTAATAGGAATTTATTTTTATTGCCTTATTTCTTTTAATTTCAATGCTTTCATATCTCTAGTGTAGGTAAATTTGTTTATAATTAGGCCATTAATAAAGAATAATCGCTTTAATTCATATTCACTTCCCCCTACAAAAAAAACCTAGCCGCCATCTATAAACCTAGTCTTGTTGATCAACGTTGGTGGCCATGGTCAGCACGATACCAGGTCAACCCTCTTCGGAGATTAGCCAGAGAAAGGAGTTTGTGTTGTTATTTAAATCAGATCCATTTACTACTAAGCCATTACCTATTAGACCGATTTCATACTTACATGGTGAGCTGACAATAATATGTGAGGAGGCGGAGGTGACACATATGAAATATAAAGAGAATCTACCATATGTGGTCATTGGAAAATTTTCTAATAGGATGCCGGAGATTAGAAAGTTGAAGAAGTTAATTCTGAAACAATGTGAATTGAAGGGAGGATGCAGTATTAGGCTCCTCGGTAATCATCATATGTTAATCAGAGCGGAAATGATGGAAGACTATGTGAATTTATTATCTAATCCATCTTTTTACTTAACCCATCGACAATATTCCTACCCAATGAGAACCTTTAAGTGGGATCCAATGTTTGATCCGGAGGGAGAAACAACAACAACCATAGCGTGCATATCTTTTCCATCCCTTCTTCGAATTTCTTTGTGAAAGAGGAAATATTCCCGTTGGCTACTGCGGTGGGGAAGCCGTTGCAAGTTGATATGGCAACAAAGAATCAAACTAGACCTATATGTGCTAGGGTGAAGAGGTTGATCTGTTAGGTGATTTTCCAAAAAGGATAAACATTAGAGTTAAGAAGCAATCATGGGTGAAAATATGGGTGCGGATAAATTATGATCATGTCCTAAAATATTGTGCTAATTATCGATTGTAAGGACATATTGAGCATGATTGTTATGCATTACACCCTTAATTGTATCCTAAGAAGACGGAGGAGACTTCAAAGGAGAAGGGGAAGATAAAGAGTGATAGAACAAATAAAAAATTTATAGATGGTGGAAAACCAAAATTGGGAAGCATAACAAAAAAGGAGGAGGACAAGGAGGAATTTCAAGTGCAAAGAAACAGAAAACATCTAGGGAAGGAAAGAATACAAGTGTGGAATCTAAAACCAACACAACCAGAGAAGTGGGTGAAGGAAAAAGTGTCAGGAAGAAGAAGAAGATGAGGAGTTGGAGATAAACACTCTTAGTGCAGGAAAGGCATGAGATCTTTCTCCAAGATAAATTGTTGATTTAAAAAGTGGTTTAAAAAAGGGGAGAACATGACAATATATTGCACCACTACATATTAGAACAAGGAGGAGCATGGAGAAGGGATGATATACTATTTTATTTTGTTTAGTGGAAAAGAAATCAGTCAAGAAGATAATGGAATATTGGCTAAATATGAGCAGCTATCTAGCCAAATGATTAACAAGAACAAATGTTTTGCTACTTGCATGAAAAAACATTTGTGGTGATTGGTTAGAAACTTACAAAATGGACAGGAATAAATCGAGGACACTTCTCATTTACTTATTTAGGATGTCCTGTGTTTTATGGGAGGAAAAAATAGATTATTTTAAGGATTTATTGATAAAGATCGGTAAGAGAGTAATGTGCTGGCAGCACAAACTGTTATTATATTGAGGTAGGAATATATTGGTTGCAAATGTGCTGCAATCAATGCATGTGTACCTACTATCGACTATAAACCCACCTAAGGGATACTCAACAAGATTCACAAACTATTTGCTAATTTTTTTTTGGGAAAAGACTGGAGATTTAAAAGGGAAACATTGGGTAGCTTTAGAGGACATGTGTTGTCCTTATAATGAAGGAGGAGTTGGTTTCAGTTCCCTACATGATGTTGTAAAAGCCTTATTTGCAAAGTTATGGTGGAAATTTAGAGTTGCCACAAACTCATTATGGGGAAAGTTCATGTGGAACAAGTATTGCAAAAAGGATCATCTTGTTGTAGCCAAAAGAATAAGGGGATCTCAGTAAAAAATTAGTGCAGATCAGGGAAGAAATAGAGCATGAAATATGGTGGCAAGTTAAATGAGGGACTAGAAGTTTTTGGTATGATAATTGGACAGAACAATGGGCTTTGTACTATATCAAAGAGGGTGGACCAGAGAGATCAGACTTGGAGGTTAGAAGTTTCATCACTAACAATAGGGGAATAAAAAAGGTTGGAGAGTGTGGTCTCGGAAGAAATGACGAGCTACATTATGGAATGTATCAAACAAATTGACACTCAGAGTTCAGATAATATTTGGTGGTAGGGCAATGCTAAAGGAGAATTTTGTGTTAAATCAACCTTCCACGTGATTAGAAGAAATAGAGGGTGGAAAATGGTTATAAGATAAAAGGCCTCCCTTTTAAAATATGTTTTTTTCCATTGGAGGGTATGGAAGAGGAGAATCTCAATAGATGACAACTTGAAAAGAATGATGATGAATACTGTGTCAAGATGTCATTACTGTGAGGAGTACAAGATGGAGACAATAGATAATTTATTTCTAACATCTCTCATAACCCAAAATATGTGGGAAATTTTGCTATTTGTGCAAGTATTAAGCTAAATGGAGTGCACCTACAACAATTGATAACCAAATTGTGGAAAATTGTTGGTCCTACTGAGATACAAAGGGTCTTTAAGATTGTTCCAGCCGTCATGATGTGGGAACTCTGAAAATGAAGGAATGCTAGGAGATATGACAGGGAGGTGAACCTTTTCAAGCTGATACAACAGTGTCAAAACACCATCTATCAGTTTATCAGGTTTAACGATCCTTGGATTCAGGACACATCACAATTGGAAGGAATTGTCAAATATATTTACCAATACATGCCTAAATTGTACTATCAGGCTGTTAGTTGGCAAAAACCATATAAGGATCGAGTAAAATGTAATACAGACGGGGCCTCTAGAGGAAATCCAGGAAATAGCACTTATGCTTTATGTGTTAGGGATGATAAGGAGGACTTGATATTTGCAGAGTCGCACCAAATAGGGATTACCAACAACAACATGGCGGAGGCGATAGCAGTATTGAAAGTACTAAGATACTGCAGACAAAAGCAATATAGAAAGGTGATTCTTGAAACACTCCCTGAGAATTAGAAACAGATTATTGAGAGAGTGGAAAATTCCTTGGGAACTAGTGGAGATTATGGAGGAAGCTATTTGTATAATTGATCAAGATGGGATAGAAGTGAATCGTGTTTTCAGAGAAGGTAATCACTTAGCAGATGCATTGGCTAACAATGTCTATAGTCATACAGAAAAGCAAAAGTACATGCATTTTAATCAGCTACCAGAGTTATGCAGGAAAACACTAAACATGGACAAACAACAGATCATGTTTTGCGTAGCTAAATGAGGAAGATTAAAGATATACCAACCAACATGGACTACATTCACATTGAGCATTAGCACACAAAATTTCACAGATATTATATGTACAAATTAAGTTTGTGCCACTACAAAGGCATATATCTGCGAGAAAAGAAAAGCTACTTAGCCTAGTTATGACAACTTACAAAAAGGGCCACCAGCAAAATTTGAGGGATACACGGTCAAATCTGAATCCAAAGAGCAGCAATGTTTGTTAACCAACCGGAGATACAACTCGATAACCATCAATTCCTTTCCACCTCGACCTTCAATGGTGAATCTGAGGAAGTAAGAGAGTTGAAATAGAGGGTAAAGGGATGAGTACAAAGGAATTAGAAACCTAATTACCTTTAAGATTAACAAACTTTCTATTGACTAAGCACCTCGTACAGTCCAGCTGAAACATTGAACCGGACCACTCACCTAAGAAACATAAATGGAGATCAGCACATATTAGGATTTAGGCAAGATGAAGGAAGAAAATGAAACTTACATGTTGAAGCTACAGAAGATAGGTGATACACGCTAACCATGGAAGATCATTGATTACCCACAACAGGAGACGAAAGAAATGAGAGTTCACAAAAGGGAAGAATATTCAGGCGGCGGAGTAGATATCACAAAGAGGAGGAGCATTGGAAGAGGCGGATTAGGAAACAAGGGTTAGGAAAATGCTTATAATGATAGGGATAGATTAAGGGGCCTATTCCTATTTGGGCTTGGTAGACATATATTAGCTCTTTTTTTTTGGGCTCTTCGCCTGTTATTTTTTTATTGTTAAGTAGGTTGCCAATTCTATGAATAAAAGGACCCTGAGCTCAAATTAAAAAAAGAATAAAGAAAACCAATTCAATTTACAATACATATTTTGCATAGATGAATATAGTGTTATCTCCTATATTAAGGTTAGCAAAACAGAAACTGAAAAATAAATGAAACAAATAGAAATAATAATTCGAATCCACAGAACACACTGTGTTTCCTTAAGAAATTTAATTCCCTCAAGTACCCGAGGTTGCAAATTATTTCCTCCCAAGATAAAACGAATTAACCTATTAAAGAAGTAGTGGTACCTCAAACTTCAATAATTTCAGCGAACGCAAGAACAGTAACGAGAGCACACACAAACTCAGCCGATCGACAATTTATTTATGTAAGAAAATGTATGCAGAGAGGAAAAAAAATTCAGTGTTGAAAACCGGAAAAAAGTCTCTATTTATAGTCATTTGCAGCAAGGAACGCGTCTAGTCGACAATGGTGTGAACGCTTCTGTTCAGACATGTCATTCCAGAATGTTGTATCTTTTGGGAAAAATAATGTCTTTTTGGAAGGAACAGGTCCCTTAAGAATGACGTTATCGTTACACGCGAATTTCAAATAAATTCCGTTACGCAAAATTAATTCTGTTAATTAACTAACATCCTGAATTAATTTATAAGAGAAAGGAAATCAATTGATGAGATTGAATAAATAAATTTTGTCCAAAAATATTATCAATCAATCACATCAAATCCAAAGCCAAGCGACGACAGCGCGAGGGGGCACCTTCTTCTTAACCCTTTAAGAACTAAAGGAAGTGTTTCCTAATATAAAGACAACAATTTTCCTTTCTTCTACCAATATGGGAGAAATGACTTTTCATTTGCAATTTGCAATGACTTTTCATTTTCCCTCCAAAATTGGTTCCCCCACATTTCCATTTTCTCTTCTTATTTCCCATTCACACCTTGCTAAAACCCAACATATAGACCCTGCAGAGCTCCAAATTCAAATTAGTTAATATGAAATTTAAATTAATTTAGTCTGACCTCTAATGCAGACTCCGAACACCGGATGGAAAACCCAATAAAAATAAAAGATAGACCATGTTGTGGTTTATTTTTTTATTTTTTTTGGTTTCCCATCTGGTGTCCGGTACCCACATTGGAGCCCGACTAAATCCAGATTTGCGCCGGGAAGTCCCACATTGGGGGGTAAAGTGCTCCCTAACAAAGGCGACTCCGTACCCAAGGAGGCTCGAACACGAGACCTCTTGGTTAAGGATGAAGGAGTACTTACCACTAGGGGTGTTCACGGGTTGGTTTGGATCGGTTATTGGTCAAAACCAAAACCAAACCAACTTAATCGGTTTTAAAATTATCAAAACCAAACCAAACCAAATATAATATACATTTATCGGTTTGGTGATTATCGGTTTCGGTTTGGTTTGGTTCGGTTATTCGATTATTAACCATACACAAAAATAAAAGAAACAATTCATTTAAAATGTGAAAAAAGTGACAACAATCCATTCAAAACGAAAAATAGTTAGAATGACTTAAATTACTAAACTTTCAATCACTAAATTTACTATCAATAAAGCTTTAAAATTCACTATATTGGCCTAGAAGGAAGAGACAATAACATTTCCAGTCCCACAAAGAATTAACATAGACACTCATATACATGAAATCAATAAGATAAATGTTTCATCTTGGGCATTTTTGCTTTCAATAAGTAAATTATAAAGAAATTTTAATGAAAATATGTATAAGATCTTTAAAATTATTTATAAAAATAATATATTAAGTATGTATATTAATAAAATATATGTATATAATTCATCAGTTCAATTATTTCTTCGGGTTTTTTCAAATAAAACCATAACCAAACCAAATACTATCGGTTTTCAAAAATCTAAACACTTAATTATTTTTCAACTAATGAAGAAAAGTATTCTATGCAGAGATAATTATACAATTGACTGATCTGATAAGAATATTTATATCTAATAGTGATCTTTAATAGAATGTATATTGACGTGTGTGCACATAAGATATTATAGGAGTAAAGTTTTATTAGAGGATATAAGATGGTCATTCAACTTTAATGGATATTTTAATATTTCAATTTTTAAGTTAAAAGACTTTTCGCTTTTAGTATGATATGATATATCATACTATTTTAAATTAAACTCGTAAAATATTTTAAAACTTTTTCATCGATTTATTTTTCTAGTTTGTTTGACATGTGAATTCTTAATGATTGTATCATATTAATTCATTGTCCATTTAAAGACTATCAATAACATTTTTGAGATAATCTTCAAAGTGAATAAGTGTCATAACAGAATAAACAATGAAAAAAATCTTTGAATTGAGTGAGTGTCTCAAACAATTTGATATGACAAAAAAAAACTTAGTGAAAGCTTTCCCACCTTGAAAGCCTCTAATTAAATTTTCTTATCATAGTATAGATTTTCCAAGTAATAACATTATTAACATAATCTTTAAAGCTAATAAGTATCATGAAGGAATAAACAATTAAAAGAAATCTTTAATTGCAATGAGTGCTTCAAAACATTCGATATGACAAAAAAATATAGTGGGCACAAATTTTTTACTTTGAATAGTCTATAACTCAATATTTTTATTATATTAAGACATAATACATAAATATGTCATTTAGCTTGGCTTCAGCTGATATTTATGTCTTCCAACTTTGAGCGTGTATAAATACTTTTTTAAAAACCTAATATTAACCAATATTAGGTTAATATCATATATGCTACCCCTAGTTGTTTTAGTGTTTATAGGTTTGAAATTTGCTAGGTATGGAATTCTCTTTTACTAAATATAAAATTTATTTCGCTACAATTTGTAATTAACCCAAATTGACCATGTATGTAACAATCAAAAAGTAAATTACTAACCATCTGTGGAATTTGGGCCTGGGCCGATGTTGTAAATATACATAGCCCAGAAAAACAAATTAATTAAGATCAATTCCATCTTTTAAAATTAGCATTTAGATTTTCTAAAATTATACAATAAGTACTATAAGTTTCAATTCTGTTCATGTCAATACGATAAAATAAATATGTTTCAGAATGTTAATTAAAATTCAGATAGTTTAAATTTCGTGGTGATTCAGTAACTTAGTGGTATTTGCTTAACACATTATAACCGTACTTCAATTCAGATAAATTATTTTGCACCGTTAAATTTTTTTATATAAATATCGTTTATTTGATATTGTTTTGTTATTATAACAAAATGTTATTATAAAGAACGAGTAATATAATATATCATGAAAATGTAGTTCAAAACATTAATTTGGCTATTACTTTCTCCATTCATTTTTTACTTAGTTCGTTTTGAAATTTTCACGCCCCTTAAAAAATAGTTATAACATGATTATTACAGAAAAAAACCCTGTATATATGTTGTGATTGGAGTAATTTGTTTTATCCACTCGATGTTTGGAATTTGTAGTAGAGCTCCGACTAAATTTGGATCATGCATTAAATGGCTTATATGGAGGAGGCATTTTCAATAGAATTGTTTTCATATCAAAGGCCCAAACTCGAGACCTTTGATTAAGAATGGAGCAGTCTCACTATTACACCACAACTCACGTTGATAAGGCTAAGCGGAATTAATTAACATACTCATATGTTTGGTTTTGTCTGCTTGTGACCAATAGTCTAGATGTGTCAACTTTGAATAGGCAGCCTAAGTTGGGTTTGGGGTGTTGGGGTAATTAATTCTATTTTTATTTTAGTTTTAGTTTTTCATGTGATGTTTAGTATTTGTATTGAAGTTTGACTATTTCAAATTTATGTCGTGTAGAATTCCATTTGGGAGAAAGCACTTCCTATCAAGGATTTTTCTATATTTAGAACTCGAACCTGATCTTACGGGAAAAACAATTTACTTGTGATGAATTCTATTTTTCTTTTGTCTTGGAGTGTGGAAAATTAAAAAATATTAAATGGTGAGCATGCAAAAGGCCAACAAACATTCTTCTCCTTGTGCTTATAAACAGTCATGACGCAACAGTTTTGATACTGGCAAAACAGTAAAGTCTGCAATTCCAAGAATATCTAATTAAAAAAAATAGTACTCCCTCTATCTCATTTTATGTGGCAATATTTGATCGGGCACGGAGTTTAAGAAATAAATGAAGACTTTGAAATGTTTATCAAATTGCCCTTTAAAAAGTAGACTCATTTTTCTCTCTCCTCGTAAATGTATTGGAGTATTATTTTAAGATTAAGTGGGACCAACAAGGGTAAAAAAGGAATTGTACCTTTAAATACTTAAGGAAATGTGATATTCTTTTTGGGACTGACCAAAAAGGAAATTGTGCCACATAAAATGAGACGGAGGGAGTATCTCTTTTATGTGTTTTCATAGACTCTTACTCTCTCCGTTCATTTTTAATTGTATAATTTCACTTTTTTAGAGTCAAATTATAAAAAAATTGACTAACATTTTACGATATATTTTTTCATCATATTGATATGTAAAGAATTGCAATTTATAGTATTTTTCGTATAGTTTTTGAATATCTAATTTTGTTTAAAAATTGAATTGAATGTAATCAAATTTGACATTGAAAATTAGTCAAATTAATTTTCGAAAAGCGCAACATAACAATTAAAAGTGGACAGAGAGAGTATATTATTAGGTCATTTAATCAAAAATCAAAATTTGATAAAGAACAAATAAAAAAATCGAGCGTCTGTGGTATTCTAACTTGATCAATTACTCAGAAAGATAAAAGAGAGAAGTATTGACAACACTTCTGAACTTGACACAAATTATTAATTTCATCTCTAAACTAATAACAGTCTTAAAAATACTTCTCTACTTGACTAACTAAACTTAGATACACCAATCTGCCACAT